AAACAAACAAGTAAATAAATAAATAAATAAATTCTACCCAAAATAAAACATTACAATAATAGTAATAATGATAATAATAATAGCAATAATAACAATAATAACAATGATAGTAATGATGATGATGACGATGATGATGACTATGATAATGATGATGATTATGATGTGTAAGGTAGGCTTTGCCGATGATGATGCTCCGCGCTGCGTGGACCAACCCCGGCATCAGGTTAAAGCACACAGTCACAGTGACAAAAGTTAAAGAATTAATTTATACCCCACCAGGGCAGTGCTATTGACTGAAGTTGTCTTCAGACCATTCCCAAAGGGGGCATATTAACATGTTCCCATGCACAGTATTGTAAATGGGCAATTTAACAATGTCATGCTCATACTGTGCCGAAACAACGTAGTGAGAACTGCTGCTTTCTATTCTCTCATCCTGACTATCGTCATTTTCCCTCTATTTCTTTTGTACGTTTGCCATTCTCTTGTGGACTATTTCCGGGGTGCCTTGATAGTTGAAGGAGACTTTGTGTTTTTGGGGCTCGAGATGCGAGCAGATTAAGCCTGATTCCACGTTTGGACTTCTCTGTTGACATCCACCCCTTGATGCTCATATCATAACCTTACGCAGTCACGAGCGCCGTAAAAAATCACTAAAACTAAAGTTAAGAGAATTATAGTTGAACCTGCTCTGACGACCACTTGTCCAAGACAACCACCTGCACAAAAGACCACATCCCACCCCTTGCTTTTTTATTTGCTATAATACTATACATTGAAACTTTTCAAGAGGACATCTGATTAAGATATAGATGGACACTTTTCCTCGACAATTGGTGGCCGTCTTGGACAGGTTTGACTGTTGATACATCGTAGTATTCTTATTCTTCAGGTGTCAGGTCTGGAGCAGACATTGGCGGTTATGGTACCCCATTCCTTCCTGTTGTCTGTCTTCTTGATCAGTTTGGTTTCTCTCATTGTGTTATTCGTTGCAATGTTGTTCAGGCACTCTGTGTATAACAGTTGTACAACGTTGTATACTTGAAGGATGGATAAACCAAGTTGAAACCGACATGTGGTTTTTGTTTGCATTTATTTTTGTGCTCTCTTTTTTCAAAAATTAAGCTTTTAGGTTCTTGGGGAGGAGGGAGGGGGTTTGTAGTTAATTTGTTTGTTTGTTTGTTTGTTTAAAAATTGAATTACATTTATTTTCCCCTCAGGGTGTGATGATCGGCATGGGTCAAAAAGACACGTACGTGGGGGACGAGGCGCAGTCAAAGAGAGGGATACTCACCCTCAAGTACCCCATCGAGCACGGTATTGTCACCAACTGGGACGATATGGAGGTGAGAAAATTTACGTTCAGGAGAAGGAATGAATTGAAAAGGCCGGAGGGGGGAGGGGTGGAAGCAGAGTGCAGGAGTTAGGGGAAAAAAGAATGAAAGAGGATGAAAGGTGTTTTTAAAAAAGAAGGGGGGAATGGAAAGAGTGAAGGAAGAGGTCAGAAAAGAAGGAACGAAAGAGGAAGAAAGGTTAAAAAAGAAGGGGGGTATGGAGAGAAAGAGGTAAAGAATGAAAGAGAGAGAAGAAGAAGAAGAAGAAGAAGAAGAAGAAGAAGAAGAAGAAGAAGAAGAAG